CTCCAGGCTCCCACTGGCCGCCCACCGCGCCAGCCAGCTCACTTGTTCCCCTTCCTCGAGTTCCCCAAAGGCTGGATCCACAGGGGTGGCATCGGGATGCCCCTTCCTGCCCTCCCCAGCTCTGTCCATACTAAGCCCGGGGCCTGGTGTCCACAGCCTGGAGGCAGGAGGGGAGCTGCCTTTCCTGGGTCTGCACACTCTGATGTGACCGGAGTCCTCACTGATGGTGGCCACTCCCAGCCCTCCACGGCCGGCCCAGAGCCCGCGACGTCCCCGGGCCCTGCTCTTGCCTGCTGGATGCCACAGCAAACCGCAGTGAGCCCTGGTTGTGGGCGAAGCCAGGCCCCAGAGCCCTGTTGATGTTTCTGCCTGGATTTTGGTGAGGACAGAGGCCCCAAGCTGTTTGGTCCCCTCCCTCCCACTCAGCCCTCTCTGCCAGACCCCTGCTGGGAGGAGGGCAGCCCCTCCAGTTCTGCGCCTGGGGCTCTGCGTAGGGGCAGGGGCTGACCTGGAAGGCCAGAGGCGCAGGCCCTGGGTCGGGGTGGCGGCAGGGGCAGCAGGCCCTTGTGTGAACTACTGCTTTTACATCAAAGCTGCCCCACCCACCTCCAGCCCAGTCCCTTCACACCCCCAAGTGTGCACCAGCTCAGGGCAGCAGAGGCCTGGTCTCCTTGGGCAGTGAGGGAGGGTCCCGAGCATCGGTGGAGAAAGGACATCCCTTCCGGCCTCCCCAGCTGGGCCTTCTCTCAGGCTGGCTCCTCCCTGCGTGGGCTGAGGGAAAGGACTCAGGCTGTGGTGGGTTGGGGGTGAGGGGAAGCGGGAGAGGGGGAGGCGGCGGCCAAGAAAGGCAAGAACATTATTTCCCTAGCTTGAGTAGCATTTCTGTTTCCTGGGACTATATCTGAGGATTTCAGTTTGAGAAATACTGACAGGCGGTGTGATGCCTGGGGTGCTGGACTCCCACATGATCGACCACGGTTCAGGTCCCGGAACTGGTGGTTTGCTCTCTCACTTTCTCTCTCTCACTCTCTCTCTGTCTTGCTCTGGTGAGTGTGCGTGCCCTATAGCAAAATTTAAAAATAATAATAAGTAAAATGAAATAAATCTTTAAAAAGCCTTATACTGTGGTCAGCAGGTGGCATAGTAGTTAAGGCACTGAACTCCCACATGACCAACCACAATTCAAGTCCCAGACTTGGTGCCTTGCTTTCTCACTTTCCCTCTCTCTCTCTCTGTCTCTCTCTGGTGAGCATACGTGCCCTATAGCAAATTAAAAAATTAATATTAATGGGGGCCAGCAGGTGGTGTGGTGGTTAAGACGCTGGAATTCCCAAATGGCCAACCACAGTTCGAGTCCTGGACCTGGCGGCTTTCTCTCTATCTCCATCTCTATCTCTCTTTCTCTGGCAACATTCATAAAAAGTAATAATACATTTTTAAAAAGAAAAAATAATAAAATTAAATAACTCAATTTTTAAAAAGAATCTCATACTCTGGGGCTAGCAGGTGGATTGGAGGTTAATGTAGCTGGGTTGAGTCCCAGACCCAGTGGCTTGAAACACATTGAGTGCATCTTCATTCCGCTGTCTACCCCCAGTCTCCCCAGTCCTGGATCACAGACACACATGTCCAGTCTGTCCAGGAAGGTCTCTGGACATGAGCCTGGAAGCTTCGCATGTGGGTCAGCCCTCACGGAGCATTGTGTCCTACCACTGAGCCACCAGCTGGCCCCCACATTAAACGAAGGTTAAAATTAATTTTAGGACCAGCAGGTGCCATGGTGGTTAAAGTGCTAGACACACCCACATGCTGACCACGGTTTGAGGCCTGAACCTGGTCCTGAACCTCTTTTTCTCTCTGTCTCTCTCTGGTCAAATTGAAATAAATGAATGAATAAATCAAAATTAAATAAATTATTTTTTTAAAAAAGAGATTAATGTGTTTTTAAAAGACCACTCATTAAAAAAAATTAATTTTTTTTGGAGAGGTTTTTACTATAGGACACATGCGCTCTCCAGAAAGACAGAGAGAGACAGAGAGACAGAAAGCGAGAACTCATCCCCCAGTGGGGGATGACCACCCCACAATCCCTTCTCCTCCATTCTCCTCTTGGGATTTGGGCACGCACGCACACGTGCTTGGCATGAGTTTAAGCCACCAGGTCTGGGACTCGAACCATGGTTGAATACATGGGAGTCCAGCAACATAGCCGTTATGCCAACTGCTGGTCCCCCCAAAATGAATTTTAATAATACATTTTATGTAACCCAATGTAGCCAAACATTATCATTTCAACACTATCAAGTACAAAATTACTAATTCGGTTTTCCTGCGGAGCTTCTGAGATGTGGTATGTGTCTGTTACTCTTCCCTCACATCTCACTTCAGACCAGCCACACTGCAAGTGCACCGTATCCGCGTCAGGAAGGAGCAGAGAGAAGGGCTGGACCAGCCCCGAGGCAGGCAGGGTGCACCTGGGGCCGGTCGAGGTGGCTCTCGGCCTCCCTGCAGGGCCAGCTCCCACACAGCCCCTCCCTCGGCAGCCCAGACCTTGTGCAGCCCGGCCTCTGGGCCTTTCTCCCCTGGCCAGCTGGGCACAGGCCTTGGCCCTGCAAGTCTCGGGAGAGACCTTATCTCCGCAGAGAACAATGCCCAGGCCCTGCTCGCTCACGTATAGGCCCTCTTCCTGCCTGCAGCACTCAGATTTCAGGCAGAGCTGTGACTCTGGATTTCTGTGGACCCCAGAATTGGATCTCGGGCCTTAACCACCTGGAGGGGTCTGAGGAAACTGACATTAGACCGGGACTGTCTGGAAAGCGGCCTCGGTCGTGCCCGTCGGTTCTATTCTCAGAGCCTTCACCCAAGGCCCCTCGTAGTCTGTCGTGGAGGGGAGGGGAGGGTGGGGACTTTGGACAGAATGTTCATGAGGCTGGTGGTGGTTGTTTTCTGGGGGTTGTTGTGTGTATGTGTGTGCGCGTGTGTGTGTGTGTCTGCTACAGGGTGCATGTACTCCCTAGAGAGAGACAAAGGGAAAGTGAGAAATCACCCCGCCAGCAGGGAGAGCCATGCTGTGATGCCCTCTCCTCCCAGGATATTGGGCGTGCACTCGCGCATCCGTGGCGGCCACGGGAGATCCAGCTCCTTTCTTTACCTCTGTGCCACCTGCTGGCCCCAGAGGCTGGAGGTTTTGAGGCAGGTCGAAAGCTGGCTGTGACAGGGTTGCCAGGGGAGACGAGAACCGATGCTCACCACGCAGCAGAGCTCTGTCCATGGGGTAGAGAAATGCCCCTCCACTCCAAGCCGCCCCGTGGGAGCAAAACGGGCAGGCGGCCACAAGGCCTGGCAGGAAGGAGAGGCCCGGGCCTGTCAGCCGGCCAGCACGCAGTGCCCGCCGCGGCCCTCCGTAAGCCCTCGCAGACACCTCAGCCCGCACCGTGCTCTGGCCTACAGCCCAGGGGACTCCTCCCAGGCCTGGCCTGTCTGCCCAGCCCAGCCCCGCCGGCACCTTCTTCTTCTCCGGCCACCCCAGGCCAGGCTACCCACAGCCCATGGAATCCCTGTTCTCTACCCGAGTCTGAAATCAGGCCACAGAAAGGGGGCATGCCAAGTCCATCCCAGAGCTCTGTCCCGGCTGGGGTCCTGTTTTAGGGACGACGAGCAAGCAGTTACCACGAACGAGGCTGAAGGCCGAGGCGGCGAGTGGCTGGAGTCTATGGGGGGCCTGCGGCCTCTAGGCAGCCACAGGAACTCACTGGGCACTACCCCAACATCAAAGATGGCCCTGTGGGAGTCACGTGGGCACTGCGCCACGTGGCATGGAGCCAGCACATGCCTGAACCCAATGTCCTCCATGTGCAGGAGGCCGACACCTCAGCATACCCCCGTCTGGCAGGCGTGATGGCCACATTTCTGAACACTGCAGACCTCTCTCTCCAGGGGGCGTCCTGGAGCTCCAGGGCCTTCAGGGATCACCAAGCTCCTAGGGTCTAAGAAGGCCCTGCCTCTGGCACTTGGTACTGGCAGCTCCGTAGGGTCTTATTATTATTATTTTTTAAAAAGAATTATTTTATTGGGACCAGCAGTTGGCATAATGGCCATGTCGCTGGACTCCCATGTAGTCGACTGCGGTTCGAGTCCCGGACCTGGTGGCTTAAAACTCACGCTGGGCACATGAGTGTGCGTGCCCAAGATCCTGAGAGGAGAATGGAGCAGAAGGGATTGTGGCATGGCCAACCCCCCTTGGGGGTGATTTCTCACTTTCTGTCTCTCTGTCTCTGTCTTTCTGGTGAGCACACGTGCCCTATAGTAAAAACCTCTAAAAAAAAAAAAAAAGGAAAAAAAGAGAATGATTTTATCTAATTTTATTTATTTATTTATTAATTTGACCGGGGGATGGGGAGAGAGAAAGAGAGAGAAATAGAGAAAGAGGAGAATACAGGGAAAGTGAGAAAGCAAGCTGCCAGGTCTGGGACTGAAACCACTGTCAGCCATATGGGAGTCTAGCACCCTTAAACACCACGCCACCTGCTGGCCCCTTGGCAGGGTCTTAGGGAGACATCAGTGAGTCACCTGCCAACGGATCCCCAAAAGAGCTGAGGCCCAGAACCGCAGGACCTGGGTGCTGGAGAGGCCATGCCCCCCTGCCCTCCATGCAGTCCCTGCCCTTGGCTGGAGTCGAGCCTGAACCCTGCAGGAAACTGGAGACCTGGAAGAGCCTCCTCCCCAGACCGTGGAGGGGCCTGTCCGAGCCTGCCGCGGGACTTGGCCTGGAAGCTGGGCTTTCTCCTGCTTGCCTCCTTTCCTGTCGCCTGCTTCTGCACAGCGCCCCCTCTTGGCGTGAGCAGGCAGACCAGGCCCCTGGCCCTGTTGGGAAGGACGGACCTCGCTGGGCTCTAAGGCTCTGGCCCTGGGTCTGTAAGCAGAAGCCTGAGAGGAAGTGCTTCGGATGTCTGGGGGACTGGTGTGCCTGCGTGGGGGCTTGGGGGCTGTGGCGCCCTAACTTGAGCAAGTGGAATAAGGTCCACTGTAATGGTCCACACCTGGGCATTCGTTCGGGCCTCAGCGCTCCCTCAACTCCCCTGTACTCCACCCT